GTGAATTTTTCATCCACTGCTGACTGTCCCTAGAGCAGTTATGTCTGTTCATGTTATCATTTCAATTTGGGGCAAATATTTTTTTTCCTTACCTGTGAATTATTGAGAGAATTTTGAGTCATTTTAATATTTAATGTTATTCTCCAAACACATTAAGCTTGTCAGCACAGTGAAAGAAATATCACATATTGTTAACTTGTGTTCTTTGTGAGCTTTAAGTGAGTGCTAAACACATGTATATATGCTCTACAGAAATAATAGCTATTTGTTCTAATTTCTTGGCATAGGTAAGATGACTTTTTCAAAGCTCTTTGGAGTCAAAGGACAGTCTTATCACACTCTACCCAATGCAGTAGTAGACAGATCCTGAAACTGAAGCTCCTTGATACTGTCGATTTACTTTGCACAGCATTGGCCAGAAAAAACTTAATTTTTAACTTTATTTTCCAGGAATGTCCTAAATTTAACTATTCCCCACCTCATAGAAGAACTTACTCCTCCCAAATAATTTATAACCTCACTGGGCACCGTGTGGAAAATTATCTTATATCAACTGCAAATGAGTTTGTCCAAAAAAGGTAAAATACTCTGTTTATAACATATACAATTGCTTTCTAATTTTAATGATAACTGCCTCCTAAACTTGAGAAAATAGAGACAACAGATGCAAATTCCTATTGTTTATATTTTACATGGTTACATTCTCAGTTTTATTTAAACAGCCTTATGTATTGAAAGTTTAAGTATCGACTCTAAATTAAGATTTATTTGAACAAAGAAAAGCATTGGTTTTTTTCAGGCCTCAAAAATGTATTGTTAAATTTGTACATATTTTTTTCTTGAAGCAAAAAAGAACTTATTGACTGGATTGTACCAACTCAGAGAGTTTTAAGGCATGACTTTTGATGACAATTGGCCTTAGTTCCAATATGAATATCTCAAAACTTAGAATGTGATATCTGCATGTGGACAAAACATGTCCGTGTCTAGCAAGGCAGTGGGCTTGTACCTACACCACCTAAGCATTTACCATGAATGTAAAATAATTAGAAAGTATAGATAAGCACAAAGAAGAAAAAATATTTCTTCACTCAGATATACCACTATTGATATTTTGGTGTATATCCCTCCAGAAATTTTCTTGTCACAGATATATGTGTAAATATTTTCAACAAAATAGGTTTGTTATAAATAATTCCAAACCTTACTTTTAAAAAAAATTGAACGCTATAATATGATGTTATTTGTGTGTCAAAAAATATAGCTCTATAGCATCACATTTACAATGATAGTCACAAAATTATTCTAGTGTGACTGCACCATTATTTATTTAAACTGACTTAAATTTGGTGACCATTTAAAAAGAAATCATTTGGGGTATGCGATATATGTGTAAATATTTTCAACAAAATAGGTTTGTTATAAATAATTCCAAATCTTACTTTTAAAAAAAATTTAGCACTATAATATGATGTTATTTGTGTGTCAAAAAATATAGCTCTATAGCATCACATTTACAATGATAGTCACAAAATTATTCTAATGTGACTGCACCATTATTTATTTAAACTGACTTAAATTTGGTGACCATTTAAATTAATCTATTCTTAAAATTACTACTTGGATTTTAAAAAACAACTTTTCATTTTTAGGAGACCATGAACTGACAAATAGTTAAATAAACCCAACTCACCTTCAAACATCAGAGAAAAAATACAGCACCAGGGAACAAGCTAGGGGAAAAAAAATTGGGGTTGT